CCCCCCCCCTCCACCCCCAGACTTCATCGCGCACTTATCATATAAAATAGTATACGCAACACGTGCGGACAGCAGACGGTCTCACTCGGGCGGCACTAACCGCCTGCTTTCCGCACTAGTTGCGTAATGTACTATGAAAGGTATGAAACACGAAATGTGAGATGAGCAGAAATGGTAATGTTATAAGGATTCATTACAATTTCATAATTTAAGTAATTTTTTAATTTCATAAATTTTTTCCAATATGTAATGGTGCCCAATAAGAATGATGAATCAGCTATCAAAAAAATATCTCGTCCGTATTTGACTGTTTTTTGTGACAATTACAATGTTACGCATTCACAAATTTAGCTCTAAATATAGTATTATATTTTTGGAATTATCACACGTACAAGTGAGTTTACAACAGTAAACAAAAATGATAATAATTTTATACTGAGTTTCTATGGAATAATTGCCCTTCTAAATCAACCAAAATATCTAACAAAATTCAAATTCTTAAGTGGAAGCTACTATGAGTTTTTAAACTCGCAGGCTATTGGAATGAGATTTCTCATACATTGAAGATCGATTATATATGTCTAAAAAGGAACCATTTGTGCAAAAAAATTGTTTATTGTTCGTTAGCCCCGCAGATGCTTAAAATGTTAAAATTAATTCAGGGCTTCCAATTTTTGAGCTATAGAGGTTTTTTTTCAAAATTTTTGAAAAAATGAGTGCAATAACAATTACGAATTAGTTTTTGGAAATTCAACCCTTACACAGCTAATTTCGTTTTTTTTTAATAAAAAATTGCACCATTCATGTAAAATACCCCGAAAAATGTTTCTGAAAGAAACGAGAATATATTTTAAATATTTTCAGGATAATTTTTCTGCCTATTTTACATGAATGGCGCAAATTTTTAATTAAACAAAACGAAATTAGCTGTGTTGAAGTCGAATTTCAAAAAGGAATTCGTAATTATTATTGTATTCATTTTTTCACAATTTTTTTCTCAAATATTGTTAAGCATCTGCGGAGCAAACGAACAATAAACAATTAATTTTTTGCACTAATTATTCGTTTCTAGACATATATAATCGATCTTCAATGCATGAGAAATGTCACTTCGATAGCCTGTGACTTTTAAAACTCATAGTAGTCTCCCGTTAACTTCTCAGAAAGTAAGAATATGGCAATGACTCGGCGATTCAGCATCGAATAAATATTATGATCGTAAATATTTCTCAACAAGGAAATTAAGGCAGCTTAACCCCTCACGAACGGGGCCCTTTTGTTTCCAAGCGTGCTATACGCTCGATACAACTAGAACGCGATGACTTCTAATCAACGTGAAATTTTCAACCCATATGTAATTGAAGCTACACTATTCATTTTCCCGCTGTTATTTGTTAGGTTGAGTTACTTTATAGTTTTGAAAATATTAAATTTTGAAGAGAGTCATGCACATTTTCATGGGTCAATACATGGTATCGACCCCGTACGAGAAGGGTTAATCGATTGAGATGTTCTCTGATCCTGAGAATAATACTTTCGAAAATTTTTTAGAATATGAATATACCTCGCAAACTACTAGCCCCATAACACTCAAATTATGATGGATTTCCCAGCTGTATTCTCAGAGTTATTGATATAGTTATAGAGTCGAAAACGTTAAAACGAGAAGAGGACGCTTCGCGCGCATATTTTTTTCCATGGGTGCCAGAATAGTAAAACCTTACCGTTTCTCAATTTCATTAATTCTTATCTCAATAATAATGCAGGAAAAATGAATGGTTTCAACGAAGTTTTTCACAATGAGAATTTAATTGTTGAATAATTTATTCGAAATCGCCACAATCCTCTTAATCTTCTTCATTTCTCTTTCACTTTTTGCGTTCTTTTTTATTTTTAGGGATATATTAGATACTATATACATATATACTATTTTATATATGTATTTTTTTATTACAGTAAGAAATTAATTTCTTTTTTTTACAATTACTGTAAACAGAAGAGTACAGTGCATATATATGGACATATATATATATATATATATATATATATATATATATGGACATTATATTACATTATTTGGTAAGCGGAATAGAGGCTTCAATAATCGTTACACTGGATTTTTTAAAAATTTCAAATAGTACCACCTCAAACAATCAATTGATGAATAGCTTCCATCCCAAAGTAAAGTTCTCTAAAAAAAAACTTCTGTTTTCCTCACATCCACAAATATTCACAACAAAACCTCGTCTATTGTGGAGTTAACGTTGTACCCTATGATCGGAAAGCTAAAAATACACACCTGTTATCAAAGAAATCGAAAAAAACCTCTCAATTCTTCATTTTCAGTTACGACAGTCCTAGCTCATCGAGATTCCAGCACTCCAAACGTTCTAAAAAATCATCTTCACGGCACAGAACTCGTTCTCGATCACCATCAAGACGCTATCAGGGACATCGAACCCGCAGCGACTCGAGTGCCTCATCCTCCCTCTCTTCATAAACCTCAAACGCCCTGGAACCTATTGTAAAAGTGTAAATAATCAATAATTATTATCACCAAGATAATTTACTACGATGCTTTCTTAGAGAATAAACAGAATGAGGAATTAAATACCTGAAGTAAACAGAATACCATGTTTTCCCTAAAAAAATTCAATGACGACAATCATCGAGATTACCAACGCTCAAACAAAACGCGATAGATCTCGTGCTGTCTAGATCACATGTTTATAACAACTAGACTCGTGCTGTGACCCTGAAGCTTCCAATGTGCGTTTCAATGCGATAAAACCAAGAGAAGCAGAAAATTCGCGGACAGCAACTTGTGAACTAGATTTCACTGACTTTAGTCATCACCTATGAAGATCAAAATTGTACAAAATTGGGGAGGGAAAGAAACATTTGTTTTCTCCTCGAAACATGATAACGGAAAAAACTAGTGTGGAAAACGAAATTATAAGAAAATCTAATAAAGCGATTTTCCCCTAAATTTTCACAATTGTCATGATCTTGTTTTTCACTCCACCTGATGGCATTTTTACCACCGTTATCAGCCGATCAGTAAGACCCCTTATCAGTTAATATGCTTAGCCTGGGCAGATTTTTGCACCCTAGTATCCACGAAAACACCTGGATAATGAGGATTTTCCCTCGATAATTGTTTTTGAGTTATGTACGACGTTGAACTGAAATTGTTTCTAATCACACTTGAAAAGGAATATTAAAATGAATGACGCAGGTTCCCCTTTCGGTCCCTCGTAATTTATCTACCCATTTCAACTGCATACAAACCGCGATTATAAATGTGTTCCCATGTAGCCGTCAAGGGAACTCGGTGTAATCCACAGTCCAATGACATTAGGTAATAAAATTGACCTCTACTGGATCCTCCTGTGGACTTCGAAATTCATACGTAACGACCAACTATCAGACACCATAAATCACTTATAATTACTGCTATCGTTCATCCACGAGATTTGTTGCTTTCAATTATGATAAAATACGGATAAAAGCAGAAGAATCATCCACATCGTCAAATTATCTTAAAACAAGAGGGAAATTGCTCTCGTATTGAATATAGTAGTCATTTTTGTTAATAAATTAGCAATATGCTTCTGAATGGTTATTTTCCACACCATTTCCTTCTATCATGTATAATTCATTATTTCATTTTATTAAATTGTATGAGATGGCTTTTCGACTAATTTTGTCAGATGTTCAACTTAGTTGAATATTATTATCATTATTATTCTTGCTACCTAAATTAATTTATACTACTTTATTTTATTTTACTTTATTTCAATTTTCGTCTTCACAATTAGATTAATTTAATTTTATCCATTCTTATTCTCATTATACATATATTTTTTCCTTAATTCACAAGTTACAACATTGAATGCAGAGGAATTATGTTAAAGATCAGTAAAAAGTTTTTTTTTTTTGATCAAAATAAACACAAAACAAAAGTCATTAGAAATCTCATTCGGGTAACAGAAAAATCTTTCCATGTATTCCTGAAAAATTTTTAATCTATTTTTCCATATTATGACCAGGAAATAAAAAATGAATCAGAAAGGGATAATTGGCTAGAAAATAGATTTTTTTTTCGAATAATGAGAGAATATCCATAAATTCGATTTCTACCCTGGCCTTTTGGTAGAATGAATACAATAAATGACAGAAATTGAGAATTGAAGACGACAAATTTTGTGGGATTATTATTATATAATTATTCTCATCTTTTATACAACCAATTATCTTTTTTACAGTTCTATCTCTCCCATCAGCCCTTCGATCAAATGTTAATAGAAAAATTTTATTTATACGCACTTGAATAAATTTGAAACATCGCATTTGAAAAAACCATCAGAAAGCTCACTTTCGGAGAAATTCATGAAAAATTCAAAATTCTCAACAATCATCATAAAAATCAAATCAACCAATATAGCTATCGTAATCACCTTTTAACTTCAACTTAGCGTCATTGAAACAAACATTTTAAGCTATAATTGAATTCATTTGAAGTATGATATCCAAAGATATCCGGCGAATTCTGATTTTAAAAAATACTGAATTTTGGCAAACTTTCAAATAAATCAAAATAACGTTTTTTGCCATCGCCTTCATCTTCGAACGCAGTCAAACGGACTTCCAAATAACTTTAGTTATTGTGGAAAAAACAATTTTTGAAAAATTAAAAAAATTGATAAATTAATCAAATTTTAATTAAGGGCGATTGACAGGGCTTAACAATACCTACATTTGAGGAAAAAAAGATTTAATTCCGTCGATTCATTAGCCAACAATCGAAGAAAATTTTGTTTACATACGTACACACATGCATACATACGTACCGGCACGGTCTAAAAATTGCCTCATCGGACTTTTTCGATCATAATGGGCCGATATAACCCGAAAAATCCCAAACTTTAATTTTAACGATTACAGTGCTTCCATTCGGAAACAAAAAAACTTTGTATTTTACTTGAACTAAACAAATGATGTTGAGGAATATCAAAAGGAATGTAGAAATTTTATTATCAAGCTTGCATGTCACATGTGCCGAAAAGGGAGGAGATATGATTATGATTCGACGGCGAAGGGATTATCGTCATTTAACGGAGAAGTTTCATTAATTGTTTTGCAATCAGATCCGTTTGATTAACTGAACAACGCAATTGTGAAACGAAATAAGTTGGGGTTTGAATACAAATTAGACGGATGAGTTTTTTTTTGTGTACTTCTCCGACATGACTCATCAAACTTTATTCTGATGGATCGCACTTTGGTCTGTAAAATAACTTTTCTATCCAAATTTATCCGTTGATTTACTAGATGCTTCGATAACAAATTATCCCACACGGAAAAATTTATATTTTGAAAAAGATACTAAAAAATATCTTAAATTGGCCCAATTTATATAAAAAAATATATAAAATATATGGTTTATATATTTTTTTAATATAATTTTTATTTTATTTTTTGAAAAAAAATATGGAATTGGCCCATATTATATATTTTTTAAATATATTTTTTGATGGGGAATCTGTTAGATATTTCTCTTGGATTACGAGACATCTTTGAAGAGTCGGTCATTTATAAACCATCAATCATCTCATTCTGAATGTGAATCTTTGGTTATCAATTTCTCATGACAAGCATATCAGCACGAAAGGCGGAAAAACGTCGGGAGAATTAACAAATACAATGACGATAATGCAATGGAAATGTAACTATCGTCATTTAGAAAATTCTCCATCGATCCAATTTTCCACATTTCACATTAATATTTCTAGTATCACGATATATTATGATAAGGGAACATAACATTCCTGAGGTCATCGAGGTGACTCATGAATTTATAAAACTGGGAGACGTGAGGAAGATTGTCAGTCTTTGTGACAGTAATCCTAGTGAACGTATCAATTACTCACAGAAATGACCACAAAATTCGCAGTAAGTAGAATTTTCGAAAAATTTAATCGTCACGCTTATTTAACTAACAAGTTTAGTCTGAACCGAACCAGTCTAAGCTATGAATCTTAGTTGCTTTGTAGGTCAAACTGGAACAGTGTGACTTTATGAACTACTTTGTCCATTTTTATGGCTTTTTGGGGTTCATACCAGCTGCGCCCCGCTGCGAACACTTGATTAATTCGAATACGATGAATCAATGATTTTAAAAATTATATATCTCAAGGGGGGAGGGGCCAGTTGAGGAGCCCGGTACATTTACACGAGTACCAATCATAATAGATTTTACATTCATTTTCAACTACCTAGGTCGTTTTAATAATTTTAAGTCTTAGACATCCAGTTTTATCGTTTTGTACATGTTGAGAATAACGTCATTGAAATTACTCCGTCAAATGCTTGGCGGAGGGGAGTAGGACGGTAATAAACTTTAACATTCTATCACATTTTCGGAAATAGATCATACTTACCGATCTTTTCATTCAAAAATATTCGCTTCTCTCGAGTGAAAGCAGCATTGGGCATCTCTCGATAACCGCAGTGTTTTACATGACATTGTAAAAAACCCGTAATTTAAGTAATAAATGTAAAAAACCAGCCGACGTTACCTTTTATTGTAAACCGTGAAGCTTCGCGATGATTATGACTCGCGAGGGGGATAAAAATCACGAGGTTCATATCTCATCAGGATCATACGTAAGGGTCATACCGTGTAAGGGATGAATTTTACAAGCGTTAATCTCATTATTTATTGATCTCTATTGAATTCGTCGTGTCATGATCTTTTGTCTTGACATTAACTTGTTCCATTCAGCATTGTTAAATGAAAAAACTAGTTCAATTGTCTTTGGTGGCTTTTTTGAACTTTTCGAAATTTACTCTTTATGAGGTATGAGGCTCATGTTTTTGAGTTTCTTAAAATGCCGTAAATCGTACTACATGATGTAACAATATTTTATGCCCCAAGTACCGAGAACCGCGTTCTAACCGAACAAAGTATGTGTCCTCGGAACATAATATACTATTTTTTATGATATTTATGTATCCAAAACTGCCTTTTCCTCAGTCGGAATAAATCATTCTAGTAACCGAAAATTGGAAGCTTTTCGAAGTAATGTAAGAAATGTAAAAAACCCGTCGAGTTAATTTACCTAGATTATGTCCTTAAAAAACTGTAATTTACCAAAGTAATTTACATGCCTAACCCTGAGTGAAAGGTAGATATTCAATGAAATATTCAGGTCCCAAATTTGATTAGAAAATTGAAAAAAATTCATGCAAGTTCCTTATTGTTCCGATATTCTCTTTTCCTCAACCAGTCTCAACTACAACATTCCATCAATAAGAATAAAGAAACGATACAAGCAACTTTTTTTCGAATGCTAACGTTTCGAACGTTCAAGGAGCTCCTCGTCACTCTCTAACTTCTTTTTCACCCTTGAATTTTCATTCACGCTTGATTTCAACAAATCAAATGCAAAAGACAGGTAGGTTCGAATTCAAGCGATGTTATTAAGCTCATTAAGAGTAAAGTGATGAAATAAAATAAGTTTAAATTGACTTCAAGGGAATTTTTTAATTAATCTTTTTGAATCTAACGGCGCTATAAACATATTTCTGTGACAATCGGTTCGATCT